CTGTTTCATGCCAACTTGCGTGCTCTCAGGCACCGTGATTGGCCCATAGGTGTCCATCTTGAGTTTACCGCCGCGCAGAGTCACATACTTGGTGGTGAGTTCCGCCTGAACACGGCATCGAATGCCCAGCAGGTGGAAGTAGTCAGCGAAGCCGGGCATGGCGTTGTCGCCCTGACAGGCGGCTTGCAGGGCCATATAGGTGCGGTCCCCCACCCACCAGCACTTGATCAGCTGGTTCAGCTTCTCCTGGGTCTCCGCCTCCAGTGGGTTGCTGCTTGTGTGCATGTTCTCCTGCTACTGCTGCTGTCGCCTCAATTTTGGGGTCTTTTATGCGCTGGCTTCGTTTGGGGCCTGGCCACGTGCTCTGCTTTGTCTGCTGACTCAAAACAAAAACTGCGCACTTGTGTTGCATCTCGGGACTTCACTCGACAGTGTGTCCTTCCCCCCTGACATACGCACAGTATGGATCTTGATTTATAAATTGGATTTCTTCTGTTCTGCCCTTCATTGGAATCGCCTGGACTTCTGGGTCAGATATTGTCATGTGGTCCTCGCGGGGTCAGTGTTCCTGCTCCCGGTTTCGAGTCAGTTTGTTTAGCGGTAACTGCCGCTTTAATGGCAATGCTGTCTGTTGAAAATTTAGCCAAAGCCGAGCTGTCACCATCTCATTACGCTTTGTGTAATTCCCCAATAAATAACACGACAAGAAGAGCGCAAAAGCTGAATTATATTAGCTTACTTACTAAAACATATTTAAGGTAAACAAACGCGTGTGCAGCCATGTCCATCGGGCCAATCAGGCACTGTCCGGGCGTTAGTAGCGACACGATTTGCTTGTGACTCAACAGCTGGCTTGCCAGAGTCTTAGCCTGTCTGCAGCTTTACATTTTAAATTATTGTTCGATTGATTGATTGCAAGTCTGCGTTCGCCGCGTGAAGGCGGATCGATCTCCTGCCGTGAGCGCGGCTCGCTGCCTGCTCGCGTGTCCGTTAAGACGGTTCCTAATACAATCTGTAACTGCGACGGTACAAATTTCTTGCCGTTGGTATAAGAGTTTTTAGGGTCACCTCTTCGCGCCAACTCTATTTCAATCAGGACGTTTTATGAGGGCTGTTTTTTCTCTGCTTCGCCAGGTCTGTTCTTTTTTGGGTTACAGAGCCGGCGACGCAGTCCATCATAGCCCAGAGACATTCCTCTGCGTCTAACCCTGCCCCCCTAAACTCACCTCTCTAGGTCGCAAACTTTAACTTGTCCTGATGAGTGCTTGGGCAAGCTGAACCTCCTAACTCATGTTTGCGTATGAGCAATCTGAGCTAGCTGTGGGATGGGCTGACGGCTTATCACA